AGATAGTACCAGAGCTGAGCCAAAAAGTTAAGCACGTTTTTTTTTCGGGACCTTCTGGATTGGAGCAGTTTGGATCTAATATTCAGCAACTATTTTTCTGTATTCGACAGATGTGAGATGCCTTGGCCACTTATCATTTTCAAGAGCTGACATCTACTAAATTGACCTAAAAAGAACTGGCATCACTGATAAGTTTGAAATGTGGTGGCTTGTTTAACGCTTCAGTGGCGCCACCATGACAAATTCAAGCACATTCCCTACTAAAACCTTATTTGCGATGAATGTGATTGTGAATGTTATGTCTGTTTGTCTGTGGTATAACCATGTATAACCGAAGAAACTGTTGTCCCTTTTTCCTCCTACCGTCAACAATAAAATATAGCTAAGTGACTTGCACACGAGACAGTCACGCAAACCTGGGTTCAATCCGTAATGTAGCTTTTTTTAATTTTTATATTTCTATAATAGCTTAATATGATACTGAGTCTGAGTGAAGTGTGAAGCTCAAAAACTCTTTTATTCATGAGATATACCAATAACTTACTTCGCTATAACTCAGTTACTAACCCATAGGTTTTCTGATATTGTCAGATCACAGAAATCTTAGCATTCATTGAATTTTCAGAAAGAGGCAGAAGAAACAACCGTAGCTGTCATGCATTCCAAACACTGACACAAAAACATATTATTAAATTAATTGTAGACTCCGCAATATTTAACACTAGCTGAGTGTGCCCGGTCTTGCTCGGGATTCAATATTACCTTGAGTTTATGCGCCGATTAAAAAAAAAGCATGCTATATTGTACGTAGCCCCCCCCCCCCTATTATCTAAGGGGCTACCGCCTATGATTATCTCCTTATACCCCCACACTCGCCCCCACATGCCTAATTTGGTTCCATTTGCTTGATTAGTTCTCGAGTTATGCAGAAATTTCTGTTTCATTTGTATGGGAGCCCCCCCTTACAGAAGGGGGAGGGGTCTCGAACCATCATAAGAACCTTCCACGGCCCCAAAAACCCCTGTATACAAATTTTCACGCCAATCGGTTCAGTAGTTTCCGAGTCTATAAGGGTCAGACGGACAGACAGACAGACAGACAGACAGACAGACAGACAGAAATTCATTTTTATATATATAGAAGATAGATAACTAATCCCAACCGAATCAATTATGTCTGATTCTTAAGCCGCATGTCCTACCCTAAAGCTGGGTTAAGACAGGGCAAGTCAATTGATCAGTTGAATTCAACTGACTTGAACGCGAATCGAACGTGTAAACCATGCCATTCAACTGACTTGATCAACTCACTTGAATTGAAAAAAGTTGAACCAGGCTCAACTTTTCAAGCCAATTGAATTTAACTGACTTGCCTAGCCTAAGCCCAGCGTAAGGGTAAGGTGGCTGGTAAGGTTCTGCTGATGTCTAAGACCTCTGTTTGTCCCGAATATCATTTTACCATGGATGAATTTCAGATTGTTAAGAGTAACAAATATCGTTTACTAATGGCACGATTAAGAACAAATGAACTATTTTTGGCTGACCCGCTAGACTTGGTTGACGGCTTTAAATGTGATGAATATAGCCGGATCGCTATAAACATTTGACCGGTTTACCTAATTGGATTCGATTGCAGGCTAGAATGCAGGATGAACTTCCGGTATATTTGATGGCATGATTGGTTGAACGGCTGGCGGCTGGATTGCCGCATCACTTTTTATTTAAATTGTTTTACTCTTTATTTTCTTCAATCTATGCTATAAATTCGTACAAACTACAGTTTTCTGTGATTTTGAATCCGAACTTTCATTTCAAGCATAACTTTTCAAAAGGACGTAAGTCGCAAAAATAAACAAATCGATATTGTGCATCTAACCGAATATAAAATACATGCTTTTCCAACGAGTTAATGAAAAACAAGGTTTGAAATTGTAATACATTATGGAAAATATATTTAATAAACGCCCTATGTGACGTTCTTTCATTGTTTTTAAAATGGTGTTGATACACCCTTTTATTGTCAACATGACTCAACTGTTAAAATTTGATGATAACATAAAAACTGCAGATACGCTCACAGTGAAGCGTCGTATGTGAAAAAAACAAAGCAACCACTATCAATCTGCAAATACGTCAAGTTTGTATGTTTGTTTTTGTATTTCCGGGAGCAAGATGTTTATTATTTCAAAAGTATTCTAATGAAATTGCACTTTAATCTTTACTTTAATATTGAACTTCACATCAAGGTTGCAAATACTCATTTCAGCTAAAACAATGTTTTTTTAAATTATGAAATAATTAGATGCCATGATCAAATTTTGAATTGGTAGGATACAAGAAGAGGTTGCAAAGAATGTGTTTGACATATTAAACCTGTTTATTTCACTTCATGAGAGTCACAATCAGCGATTTTTCACAAACTCACTCACTCACTCACTCACTCACTCAGCGATCAGCAAATCGCTGATTGTGACTCATAGAAAGCAAAATTTACAGGTTTTATGTTTCCAACGCATACTTTGTAACCTCTTCTTTTAAGTTACAAGTAAAACATGCCATCATACCATCTTTTGGTTTTATTATTCCGAAAAACATTATTTTAGCTGAAATGAGTCTTTGCAACCTTGCTTCACATACCATTCTGACTAGCGCTTTCTGAATACGAAAAACACAAAACGTTTAACATCTGACAGCAGATAATGCAGTGACCTTCTCATCTCCGCTTTTAACATCGATTATTACGCAACTCTGAGTAGTTATGTAAATTAATCAACCAACCGACAATTCCTCAATGCTTTTAGAGCTGCCGACGTATCTTCACTGCAAAACAAAAACCGGTGTATCTGATTCGACGTATGTGAAAACCCTTCTGTCAAATAGACGAATCATGCAGGGTGTATGTAACAATCAAGGTGTGATACCGACGAATCAATCAGGGTGTATGTGAGTAGTACACAAGTAAAAGGTGTATGATTTTGTTTTATCAAAAGTATTGTCCGTGTTTGCAAAACTCGAAATTTTTCACAATTCTCTTAAACGCAATCCCTTTATCCAACTAATAGCACAAACAGATTTAAAAAAAATAGCATTAACTTTTAAATAGCATTTAATAATCTCATATAGACATTGCTATCCAATGTTTCTAATTTCATATCCAATGTTACATACGTCCTTTTGAAAAGTTATGCTTGATTTGATTTTTTATTGTTTTGTGATGCGTTTCGCGTTGTCATGAGGACATGGCCTTCTGCGAATAGTTTTGGTTCACTGCTTCGAAGTTTCATTGGCATTGACTGTCAGTGACGATTTTCAATTTTGGTTGTCAAATCTGACGCCAAATGCTCATTTTTCTCTGAATTGGCAATATTATTGTTGACACTTTACCAATAGAAAAATGAGTTCTTTAGAATTCATATTTTTAGTATCAAAATTTGCTATTGGTTTGATATTTTATTCAACTCGGGTAGTCTTGCAATATCAAATGAGCTTGTAAATCAATATTAAGCATGATATTTTGTTCCAATATCATGCGTGATATTGAGAGCGCAAGAGAGCAAAAAAATATAATTATGCCATCACTGTTATTAACAATAAAAGTAGTTGAAATTTTGATTGATTCCGCAGAATTCCGCCACAAAAGTAACTTTTCGTTTTCGTGTTTGCATTTTTTCGGAAATTTCGTTTCGTGAATTTCGCGGAATATGTTTACTGCGTTTCGTTTCTTATCGACTTTAAAAAATCTCATATCGCATACCCTTACTGAGCAAAGGGCGGCAAATTAAAAACAGGCACAAATAAAATTTTCCTTCAAGCTAAAAATGCCAACGTTTCATTCTCGTTTGCATGCCATAGTAATCTTGCTGAAATATGGTTATTTTCACTGTTCATTATATTCTCGACCAATACTAGTATGACATTGGCAAATATGTGGTAAATTATGTAGTATGGTAGCAGTCCGAAGCATAAGCGCATCTGTTACAGTGCTGCACGAAAGGTTCTGTGATCCCAAGCGCCCTGCGCTATAAGTAAGAAAATACGCCACCTTGCAGTCCCATTAAAGCAGCAAACCGAACAACATGCCAGAGCATTTTATGACAAACGAGATCATATAACGTTTCTTTTACAGCTGTGCTATGTTATGGGTTTCCAAGCACCGCACCGCCGCATATCCCGAAACCCACACTCGATAAACGTTGGCCTTACTCCATACCGCTCCGAAGACCCAACCGAACAAGGCTCCATCTCCTACATGACAAGAGGCATATTTATCGATTGCCATCTCTACCATACGTTCCACAAGCTATCCAACCACCCATCCACCCAACCATTCCGTTCACATTCCGGGTAAACGAAGAAGAAGAACACAAAATGAACACTCCAAAGGACAACCCGGCACTTGGAGGCGGTGTAAATCGAAAATAAACCGATTAGAGCCAATCACGCCACGTCGATTTCAGTCGGGTTCGCATTTCGATGAAAAGAGATGTAGATGAACCTACACCGACGACCGACGGCTGCGCTGGCCTCAGGCAGGAATACCATCGAAATCAATTTAGACTGAGTTGTGAATTGGCTACACCACATCTTGGCGTATCCTCCGGCCAATCACGTGTGACACTCAATCAAGTTCAATGGTGTACCAATAACTGTACGATGAACTGAAAGATAATTTCCTTTCAATTGAAAAATCAATAGCTCACGGATGTTTGGGAAACCACGCGACTCCATAATGTAGCTCTCCCAAAATTTCTCTGAAAACTCCATTTTGCTTTAAAAACAGAAATTGAATTATTCTTCCCCAGCCATCAACCTGCACAAAACTCAATTCTCACATAGCCCGTCAGGATACCCATTAGTGGCGCTTTATAGCCAACCTAGCACGATCCAGTTTCCTTTACACCGGAACATGCCGTGTTCTCCGGTTGTTATTGCCATTTTCCATACATTCCTGTCATTTGCTGCGGTGTGTACCCAGTACCTGTGCCAACTATTCTACCGTACCTGGTAATTTCCTCAGTCGGCCCGGAAAAGCTCGTTCCTGGTCGAAACAGTCCGGCCGCCACATCGCTGCACGTATCCTGCTCGAAGCGATCCGCCAGGATGGTGATGTTTGCGTTGCGAAATTCACGCTGCAACTCCAACGCCGTGGTCAGTCCGACCACCCCGGCTCCAACCACGCATAGATTCATTTCTGGTGCTCTACAGGTTGGTTTGGCTGCGGAAAATGGCGTAGAGGTGGTCAGTTGTCACTTTTTTTTTATATTTTGTAATAGAAATTCTAGTCAGTAGCTTCTTGCTACTAACCGTATTTCATTCATATGTACATGTTGAAAGTGTATAATAGTGGTGAAATGATCATGTCTTAATTTAAAAAAAAAACTCTGCATGTACCCACCCTGTTTCTTTTCTGCAATATAATTGGCAAACTGGGCTGTATCCGTTGGTCTTCTACTATTTCTTCTTTTTTGCAGGAACAGTCAAATGAATACTGTAAGTAGAAAAACGACTTTCATTAAAATAACATGCCACATGCAATATCGGGGGAAAGCTACTATTTTGCTATTTTCAAAATGTAAGAAATTATTTTCGTAACACTCAACTATGACATTTACCGAGCTTGCCATATTCGCTCTTCTAAGTAATGATAGTGTCACGCATGTTTACAGACTATCACAACAATGCTGCAGTGATGATTTTGATAATGCCAACGATCGTGATGGCAACGATGGCGAATGACACAGAGTCACCGTCCAAAAGGGGCGTGTTTGAGCGGGGTGATACATTAATTAAACTAAAGTTCAAGTGGAGGCGCTACCCTTGAGGGGGTATTATGTTATTAGACGAATTAAAACGACTTACCTTCTTGCGAGTAATATTCTATCGTCAAGCTATGTGTTTGCAATGTGCTAACCAATTCTGATTCCCAATCCACTGCAGAGTGGGAAAATATGGACCCAGAATTGCTTTATCTAATGTTCATAGGTAAGCGGCAAATCTGACAAAATGGACCATTTCCTGAGGTCTGATCATAAGATACCTCCGCATATTAAACTCTACAGACTTTTTCACAATGGTTCAGTGCACGTTGGTTCAATATAGTAGCACCACCTAACTAACATTTTTAGTATATGTAAACGCTTTATAAATTTTGTTTTTACCGCCTCAAGCTTTCTTGAAACACTATACGATATGCGGCAACTTTTACACAATCTCTATACAAGCAAATCATTGTTAAACATCGTCGCTAAAACATTGCCGCTATCTGTTGAGTACACTGTGGTCGGCAGTACACGGAACAGATGGCGGTATTGTGTAAACGTCAAACACAAAGAGATTGACTATCCGCGCCACAAGTGTCGGTACTAACGGGTGTTCAATATAAAAAATGAGAATTATTTCAGTGCCGTCCAGCGCTCTTGAGAGAGCATCGCGACTAAGTTGCGTCGTACGGCTGACCAGGGCCCCTTCTCCAATATTCATTGACGGTTTTTTTATACTGAATTCGTTGAAAAAAAATTTTTTTTTACTAGCTGTATTACTGAAAAAATTCTCATTGTTTATTGAACACCCGTTACCAACTGAGATACTTTTAAATTGACCGTTAAATGCTTGTTCGATGAACAACTTGCGAGTGTTATGTCTACTTGTCTGTTTTAATACCATATTCGTTAACGCTTCTACTCAGCCGATATTCAGCTGTTTAGCTGAGTATGAAATTGAAAGGCGCTTATTCAACTTTTTCCCAACAACTAAATAAAGCTTTGTCGCAAAGTAGAGTTAAATATTGTGTGTGTATGTGTGTGTGTGTGTGTGTGTGTGTGTGTTTTTATTTTTTTTATAGTAAGGAAAGCTTCAAAAGCCCGGCCTGTCACTGTGTTGCGTGTTTGTTCTCCTTCTGGCACAGTGTGGGACTCTTAACCACTGAAACCTTACTCGCCTCTAGCCACTATCCCTCCGGAACTCCCCTAGAGTATTTCGTCGGGGGGGGGGGGCTGTGCTCAAGCACTTTTCTTTAGCTCAGCTAGCCGGCGTTGCTAACTCGCTGATCATCTCTCCATTTTCGCTGCAGCTCCGACAAAATTAGCGTCACTGCCCTGCTGACGACGCTCCACGTCCTCTCATCCCGGCACATTTCACTGACGACATTTCTCGCGCTAAGGGCCGGCATCTCCACTCGCACTACCTCAAATCTTGGGCAGTAGAAAACCACATGCTCCGGAGTTTCGTCCACGTTGCCACACTCCGGACAGAGGGGTGACGTTGTGTGTCCAAAGCGATGCAGGTACTTCCTGAAGCAGCCATGACCAGACAGGAACTGCGTCAAGTGGAAGTTGACATTCTCCATGCTTCCTGTTCACCCAGGTCGAAAGAATCGGTATTAGTCTATGTGTCCATCTACCGTTCTCCGTCGTGTTCCACTCCTGTTGCCACTTAGCCAATGACTCCACTCTCACAACTTTCCGTACTCTTCCGGCTTCTCTCCGCCTGTAGCACTCGCTGTCCTCCGCCAGGGTGATGCCGATAGGGATCATACCGGCGATTATCGCCGGGCGATAACGCATACTGCTTCCGACGAGATGGTTCTGTACGCACTCACGACTCGCATGGCCATGAGCCGGAACGTACTGCTCAGTTTCCTTTGGTTCTGCTTCGTTTCCAGCGCTGGAACCCAGGCTGGACCTCCATATCTCAGTATCGATGATGACACGCTGGCTAGAAGACGCCTCTTGCTACTGCTGGGACCAGCGTTGTTCGGCATGATTCTAGCTATCGCGTTGATGGCCTTCGAAGCCTTCTCACAAGCATATTCGACGTGGCTGTTGAAGTTTAGCCGGTCATCGATCCTCACTACCAGGTATTTTAACACACGCTTCGAGGCTATGGTGTGCTCCCCGACGGTGATTTCTGCCTGCTGTACCGCTTTACAGTTACTGACCAATAACACTTCCGTTTTGTGGTGGGCTATCTGCAGCTTCGCTCCTTGCATCCAGTTACCAATCATGTCGATTGCCTCGGTTGACAACACTTCCACCTCTTCCAGCGTCTCGCCTGTTACCGTCAAGACGACGTCGTCCGCAAAGCCAACGATCTCAACTCCTTTGGGCAGTTTCAGCGTTAGCACGCCGTTGTACATCCCGTTTCAGAGCGTTGGACCAAGCATGGAGCCTTGTGGAACTCCCGCTGTGATCCTAATCGATCTCTGTCCCATGTCTGTTTCGTAGACCAGAACCCGATTCTGGAAATAACTCCTCAAGATCCTGCACAGGTAGTCAGGAACCCTCATTCTATGCAGTGCTTCGGCGATGGCCTCCCAGCTGGCGCTGTTGAACGCATTCTTGACGTCGATCGTTATCACGGCGCAATATCGATCTCCTCTCCGCTTCTGTTTGGACGCTTTCTCAGCTCTCTCGACCACTGTCCGAATTGCATCCACCGTCGATCTCCCTTTCCGGAATCCGAACTGCCTCTCCGACAATCCGTGCTCACTCTCCGTGTATTTCGTCAGCCTGTTTAGGATGATCCTCTCCAAGAGTTTTCCGACTGTATCCAGCAAGCATATAGGCCTATACGATGCTTGATCCCCCGGCGGTTTTCCGGGTTTTGGCAGCAACACTAGCTTCTGTATCTTCCACCTGTCAGGGAAGTGACCCTCGTCCAGGCATTTCTGCAGCACCATCCTGAACATGTCCGGGGATGACTGGATCGCCGCTTTCAACGCTACGTTGGGGATTCCATCCGGACCGGGAGCTTTCTTCGCCTTCAATCCTTTCGCCACTGCTACGAGTTCCTCGTTGGTGACTTCGAGGTTATCTCCCTCTCCTTCTCCGTACGGTGTAGGTGGCCAGGCTGTTGCGTCGTGCTTCGGGAAAAGTCCTTCCACGATGACTTTCAGCTTCTCTGGGCACATTTCAGCGGGCATCGTTGGACCTCTGATCTTCACCATCACGACTCGGTATGCGTCGCCCCAGGGGTTGGCATCAGCGTCTCGACACAGCTCCTTAAAACAGTTCGACTTGCTCTGCTTAATCTCTCGTTTAAGTGCGGCCCTGGCCGCTCGAAACATTTCTCTTCGTTTTTCTCTGTCTGCTTCCGTTCTTGCTTTCTGAACACGTCTTCTGGCTCTGAGACAACTAGCGCGGAGAGTGCTAAGTGCCTCGTTCCACCAGTAGACTGGACGCCGTCTGTTATTTGGCTCCAGTTTCCTCGGAATGGTCGTGTCACATGCTCTCACTAACGTTTCTGTCAGCTCGTCCGCATTTAGATCTGCGGGACTCCTGTCCACACGAAGTGCCTCAACGAACAGATCCTTGTCGAAAGCCTTCATCTTCCACTTTCGGTCACAAGCTCTCGTCCTCCGTACTGCCACAGTATTCCGTTGGCCGATGCCATATCGTATCGCCTGATGGTCACTATGGGTATATCCTTCACACACTCTCCAATCCATGTTTGCCATCAGCGACGGACTGCAGAAAGTAACGTCGATAATTGATTCCCGGCCATCTCTGCGAAAAGTTCTGCTGGTGCCTTTATTGGCCAGCATAACTTCCAGTTTTGCCAGAGCTTCCAGCAGACTGTGCCCTCTTGCATTGGAACATCTGCTTCCCCACTCCATTGCCCAAGCATTGAAGTCTCCTCCAGATGACTACCGGTCGTCGTCCGATTAGCTCTTCGGTAAGTCCATCTAGCATCTCATGGAACTTCTCCATCGTCCATCTGGGGGGTGCGTAACAACTACACATGAAGATTCCGTTGATTTTGGCGATCACGAAACCTTCGTATGAGCTCGCAACCACTTCTTGAATGGGGTATCTGCCGATAACTTGTATAGCGGCCATCCCAGCTCTATCCGCCACCCAGTTACCGTTATCGGGAGGGACTCGACACGGTTCCGCAATGATTGCAACGTCGCACTTTGTTTCTGTTGTCGACTGCCACAACAGTTGCTGAGCAATGTCGCAATGATTGAGGTTTATTTGGGTTACCTGCATTACTGTTGGCCTGCCATCGCCTTTTTGTATGCTAGGCATTTGAAGCCTCCCGTCGTATGATCGTTACCGTCCTCTTTTTTGCAGAGCATACACCTCGGATGCTTCGTGCAGCCTCTTGCAATATGGCCTTTCTCTCCGCATTTCCTGCACAGATCAGATCTGTCAGGGCCATTGCAGTTCCTCGCCTGGTGACCGAATCCCATGCACTTGAAGCATCGCTCC